ATAGCGCTTTTTTGGACACTCAAAGACGCTTCACATGTGTCATTATTCATTCACTTCATACACGGTGGTGATAAACTACTAATGTAGCCACAGCTGCCCTGGGGCACACTGACAGAAGCGAGGCAACCAGTATGTGCCATCGGCCCCTCTGACCACCACCAACCATTCACACACACACCAGACTCATTCTAGGCAATGGGGGTGAAGTGTCTTGCCTAAGGACACAACGGCAGTTTGGCACTTTACAGCCGCAGCCGCCCCACTGTGGCTGGTGTTCCCAGAGGTTAAGTGTCTTGCCGAAGGACACAACGACAGTAGTCAGTGGGAGTCGATGGTGAAAGTCTTGAGCGGGGCTTGAACCCACGACCTTCTGCCTCAAAGGCCAACGCTCTACCAACTGAGCTACTGCCGCCCAATAAAATAAAATAAACATACATGTCAATGACTAAAATCCTTCCATACAGCCTCTCGGTTCGTTCTTTTGCCCTATTGGTTCATTCTTACTCCTGATGGTTAATTCTTATTGATTCGTTCTTAAACCCTATCGGTTTGTTCTTAAGCCCTATTCTTGGGTTTCATATGACGTCAGGGCAGTGGCGCGAATAGCAAACGTAGGACAGGACGTGATGTATCCTGCCGGTGCAGTCTGCTGGGTTTATACACGGAGATATAGTAGAAGAAGAAGCGCTGTCAAAATGCCATCTTTTTGTGCGGTGTACGCTTGTAGCAACCGCACAAATTGAGAGAAAGAGTTTGTTCATGTTCCAACTGTGGTCTCATATAAAGGAGGACACTTTGAAAAAATCACTGGAATGAGGCGGGCGAGGTGGATCAAGGCTTTCCCAGATAAGCGCCCCCTGCAGGCCACCCCAATGAAACGCAGCCATTTCTTCTGTTTTTCTTTCCAAAAATGCCCGAAATCAAGACTCTTTTGAAAAATATATTTTAGTACTCCCTTAGAATTGAATGTCCCTGATAAAGACTGTTACAACAACCGTACACCGCACAGGAGGAGAGCCTTTTGACTCCAAAACAGACTTTACATGGTTTTCAATGGAAGCAAACCTGAGTTTCCCAGCTCTGCTCATGCGCCCCCTACTGGCCAGTTTAATGAAACACAAGAATAGGTTCGTTCTTACAGCCTCTCAGTTTATGCTTATGCCTTATTGGTTAATTCTTACGCTCTTATTGATTCATTCATTGTTGGTCCCTTCTGGAAGTTCAGTCCAGTGTATGTTTTGGTAATGATTGATTTGGTCGTGTTCTGTTGCCACGGCGACAGCGTCAGTCGGTCTGTTCTGATCCATATATTGACGTTTCCGTTGCAGATCGGCAGAAGCCACATGCTGATCTGTTACATCACAGATCGACTCCCAAATACCAGCTCCATTCTCGGAACATGGGTTCATCCCCCTACATGATGGGTTCTTTCCCTTCTATCACATGCATTTTGCGCAATCAATTTAAATTGGGCGATGTGGGTTGAAGTCATGGGTTCTCGGCTGAAGTACACTAGTGATTTGTAAATGCAGGATTATGAAGTGGAATGTGCTAAGTGCCAATTCCACTGAACAATCTTCTGTATAATGCTAACATGCTACAAATGGATTCTCAAAATGGAATCTCACAAAAAACAAATTAATTTTGGGAGTGGAGAAACTACAAGTTTAGTGTCTTAAATAATGCACTGCAAAAAAATGATGAAATATATGTAATAAATGCTTGAATCAAAAGTTTTTTTTTTTATCTTAATCTGAGCACATTCTGACTGTGTTAAACCAAGATTCTCCCACGGGAAAAAGCCACTTAGTCTTATTTCAAAAACTGTTGCTCTATTTTTTCATTACAAGTAAAACATTTGTTTCTTTTTGCTTTGTCCCATTGGAAAATCTTGTTTAAAGGCTCAGTCAGAATGATGATACATACAGCCAAAATTGACAAGTTTTTTGCTTATTTTGCATCACATTTTGCAGTGAATACAACATAAACCATGTTAAAGAAAAAATTTCTTGTTTATAAAAGATACTAGAAAAATAGGAAAATAAAGTTAAAACAAGACTAAATGGCTTTGTCCCGTTGGAAAATCTTGTTTGACCAGTCAGAAAAAAACTCAATAAAAATAAAAACCACTCGATTCAATCGACTATAACCTCATGTTGTATGATTGTTTGCAGTGTGACAAAGTAAAGAAAAGACAAAACGCACAGTCTTTGTTACACTACTATCCTTTCTCGCAATTCTTTTTCAAATGAAGGATTTCAGATTGTCTGTTTTCAATCACAGCTGTCAGAGGAAATCATGTTTTGGACGAGAGAGCAAAAGGATTCATAAGCTTCAACGCTCAAGACAATTTCACATAATTTGAGTCCCTCGAGGTGTGTGTCTTTGAGTCATAAACTATATATTTTTTTGCAGTGTTGTAGTAACGAGCCCCTGGACTTGTAGACATGTGAACAGATGGCTCCTAAAATGAAAGTGTGTCTGATCTGGATGCTCTTGTGTGTTTAACATGGACTCCGCTGTTCCTGCTGTTGCCGTCAGTGGAGCAGGCAGATGACAGGACGCCTCAGGGGGCCTCTTTGGGGACCTGACCCCCGCTCTCCCCCGGGACCCCACGTTTACTCCACTACTTTAAGCCCTATCATCTGGCCTTGTTTAGCCTAGGATCAAGCACCACATAAAGCAGGCAGCTGCCATCGCACGTGGATTTTAGTTTTAATATTTTAATTCTTATTTCACACGTGTTGATGATCGTAGAGATGAGATAAAGATTAATTAAGTTCAGCTCAAACTCAAACCCAAAGTTGAACGATTGAGAGTCTTCCCATTCACTGAAGAATGGAATTGATTTGTTTGTATTTTCTGAGTAGAGTTTGAATATTTGGAAAGTTTAATGTTTAAAATGTATTGTAGAGATGTTTAAATTGACACAGATTTTTATGTCGCCGTGTGTGTGTGAGAGGGAGACAGAGAGAGAGAGAGAGAAAGAGAGAGAGAGAGACAGAGAGAGAGAGAGACAGAGAGACAGAGAGAGAGACAGAGAGACAGAGAGACAGAGAGACAGAGAGACAGAGAGACAGAGAGACAGAGAGACAGAGAGACAGAGAGAGAGAGAGAGAGAGAGACAGAGAGACAGAGAGAGAGAGAGAGAGAGAGAGAGAGAGACAGAGAGAGACAGAGAGAGAGAGAGAGAGACAGAGAGAGAGAGAGAGAGAGAGAGAGAGAGAGAGAGAGACAGAGAGAGAGAGAGAGACAGAGAGACAGAGAGACAGAGAGACAGAGAGACAGAGAGACAGAGAGAGAGAGAGAGAGAGAGAGAGAGAGAGAGAGAGAGAGAGAGAGACAGAGAGAGACAGACAGAGAGACAGAGAGACAGAGAGACAGAGAGAGAGAGACAGAGAGAGAGAGAGAGACAGAGACAGAGAGAGAGACAGAGAGAGAGAGACAGAGACAGAGAGACAGAGTTTTGTTCGAAAAGTGGAGAGGGTGGTTTTTTCCAGAAATTTGGGAAAATCTTCCCATAAACCTTTAACATAGGTTAGGCAAGAGCTCTGGTGTGTGTCGTCTGGTGCACACTGGGGTAGTCTTGCACAGTTTTTCCTATGAGGTTTTACTGCAAATGGCAAATAAATGAATCTGAATCTGAATAAATAGATAATAAACATATAATGAACTCTCGAGCTATAACTGCACTAATAAGAACATTTGTGGATTACACACTGACGTTAGAGAGGCAGGAAGTTACACATTTACACATGGTTTTATCCTCAATCTATTTTTGTATAGCCCTAAATCACAACATTAGTTACCGCCTAGGACTTTATAAACCTGTCGATTCACCAACACAAATTAGAGAATCAGACATTGGTCCATAAGGGGCAGAAATCAAATTGAAGAGACTTGAGTTTTCATTACTGCTGTTTTGTTTAAAAAGGAGGATTTTGGATGATTCCTGAATGTTCTGTCCGCCGTGAAACCACAATCAGTGCCTTTAGTCACATAAAAACACTGTATCGGCACGGACAAAGACACGCCCCCCTCCGTCTCCATGACAACAGAATGTCAGACAGACGCTTTTGTTCCGCTCGTCTGTCTGAGGCTGCGGGGCTCTCGGTGACCTCGCAAATATCACCAGAGTCGGTGGTCGTCGGGACGTTACAAACACGACACAGAGCGTTCGTCCGCGCTGTTCACGAGCCACAGTTTGAGAAACATCTCCGAGCTCTAAGACAACAGGGAATGCTCTTTTTTCCCAAACCCAAGTGAAAATCTATTGTGGACCAGTCATGAATGGTAAACGACAGAATGATGAATTAGCATATGCCCATAATGACTGCTAATATGATATCAAACATGTAAATGGGCAGTGCATGCTGGGAGCTCCACCGGGCGCGGCGGACTGAGAGGATTCCGCCTGTTGCTAAGTTACCAGGGGTCAGGGGTACAGACTGCGCCCCTCATTCTGTCTGAGGGACATCAAAAACACATCAATAGCAATCTGGGAGGTATAACGCACATGTAATGAGTAATATCACGTGTGAATAGGATTGACAGAAAAGAGAAAAATAAAATAAATACGTATTGATTTAAATTAAAAAACACATTAAAAACAGTAGATTATTTAAGATTAATCTAACCAGGAGGTCAGTATACTTAATTCTTGCTTCTTTATTATGCTAAAGTTAGAGATTTTAGTTAATGCTCATTTATCTTGTGCTCCTCATTCCTACTGCTTTGTAACTTTTGATGCAACACTGGAATTTCCTCACTGTGGGTTGAATAAAGGATCTCTTCATCTTAATGGGGTTTCATATTTACTCTATACAGAAACTATTGGGTCATTTCAAAGCTGAATTCAGGCATCAGACGTCACCAAAACAGGATGTACCTTTTATGTAGTATCTTCAGTGTAATCAAATATATAAACAGGTTTCAGAGAGATGGAATAGTTAGGAGAAAAATGGCATCAGAGACCAGAGTGAACCTGTTTGTTCTTGATTTTATGAAGATCTGGGAATCTGAGTCAGGATAAAACACAGACCAGGACTGGGAGAAGGGGTGGGTGAGGACTGGGTGAGGACTGGGAGAGGACTGCGTGAGGTCTGCGTGAGGTCTGCGTGAGGTCTGCGTGAGGTCTGGGTGAGGTCTGGGTGAGGTCTGGGTGAGGTCTGGGTGAGGTCTGGGTGAGGTCTGGGTGAGGTCTGGGTGAGGTCTGGGTGAGGTCTGGGTGAGGTCTGCGTGAGGTCTGGGTGAGGTCTGGGTGAGGTCTGCGTGAGGTCTGGGTGAGGTCTGGGTGAGGTCTGGGTGAGGTCTGGGTGAGGTCTGGGTGAGGTCTGGGTGAGGTCTGGGTGAGGTCTGGGTGAGGTCTGGGTGAGGTCTGGGTGAGGTCTGGGTGAGGTCTGGGTTTAATAAAAACAGCCTTTCTCATACATGTTCCAATGGTGATACTATGGGTCATATGAGACATGAACACAATAAGGTGTGTGTGTCTGTCTGTGTGTGTGCGTACGTACGTGTGTGTGTGTGTCTGTGTGTCTGCGTACATGTGTGTGTGTCTGTGTTTGTGCGTACATGTGTGTGTGTCTGTCTGCATACATGTGTGTCTGTGTGTGTGCGTACATGTGTGTCTGTCTGTGTTTGTGCGTACATGTGTGTGTGTCTGTCTGTCTGCGTACATGTGTGTCTGTCTGTGTGTGTGCGTACATGTGTGTGTGTCTGTCTGTCTGTGTGCGTACATGTGTGTGTGTGTGTGTGTGCGTACATGTGTGTGTGTGTGTGTGCGTGCGTACATGTGTGTGTGTGCGTACATGTGTTTGTGCGTGCGTACATGTGTGTGTGTGTGTGCGTACATGTGTGTGTGTGTGTGTGTGCGTACATGTGTGTGTGTGTGCGTACATGTCTGTGTTTGTGCGTACATGTGTGTCTGTCTGTGTTTGTGCGTACATGTGTGTGTGTGTCTGCCTGTCTGCGTACATGTGTGTCTGTCTGTGTGTGTGCGTACATGTGTGTGTGTGTGCGTACATGTGTGTCTGTCTGTGTTTGTGCGTACATGTGTGTGTGTGTCTGCCTGTCTGCGTACATGTGTGTCTGTCTGTGTGTGTGCGTACATGTGTGTGTGTGTGCGTACATGTGTGTCTGTCTGTGTTTGTGCGTACATGTGTGTGTGTCTGTCTGTCTGTCTGCGTACATGTGTGTCTGTCTGTGTGTGTGCGTACATGTGTGTCTGTCTGTGTTTGTGCGTACATGTGTGTGTGTCTGTCTGTCTGTCTGCGTACATGTGTGTCTGTCTGTGTGTGTGCGTACATGTGTGTGTGTGTGCGTACATGTGTGTCTGTCTGTGTGTGTGCGTACATGTGTGTCTGTCTGTGTTTGTGCGTACATGTGTGTCTGTCTGTGTGTGTGCGTACATGTGTGTGTGTGTGTGTGTGTGTGTGCGTACATGTGTGTGTGTAAAGATCGTACCTTGTGGTTGTTTGGTTTAATGCATCTGATGAAGTAGGGGTTGGAAGTGCTGAGCGTGGCCATGAGAGAGTGGAGAGAGTCCTGCAACATGAGAAAAACACACAATCAAACCACGATGATAGTTACAGACCAACAAACACAACGTGACGCAACAAATGCTCAGCTTGGAGAGGATTAATGAGCTAAAAAAAATAAAGAAAAAGCAAACACCACTCGACAGATCAATAGGAATGATTGCAGACGATTATTGAAACAAGTCTGGATGAAGCTACTATTGTGTATGCGTGTGTATGTGTATATGTGTGTGTATGTGCGTGTGTGTGTGCGTATGTGTGCGTGTGTGTGTGCATGCGTATGTGTGCGTGTGTATGAATCCTGGATAAATAAAAAGCAGAGCGTGACCTTGAACTGTGAGCTGACGGTCGGACGGCGGTGCTTCGTGCTGCTCTTCAGAGTGTCCTGTTTGTTACGACTCACAACGTGTTCGAACAGATCATACACAAAGTCCAACCTGAGACACACACACAGAGATACAGGTTACACTTAGAGAAACACACACATATATATATACACACACACACACACACACACAGACACACAGATAGAGGTAGACTTATCATGAAGCAAACTTTCTTTGACGATTAAATTGTCCCAGAAATGTTGTCGATGAACAATAATATCGAGATACATTTTAAAATTGCCAGTTTGAGACTTTTTCCACTTAAATAATAACGGCCAAGCTGCATATTTTTTTACTTTCGGGTACAAGTTACCACCACGCTTTAGTGAGTTTTAGTTTCAGTGCTTCAGGAGGAGACGCGAGGGAGACACAGACACGGGCAGTGTATTTATTGCTTGCACAGGTAACGCAAAGAAAAGCACTTGCTCCCGTTTGCGTCTATGGTCTGCGATAGTCACATTATGGCCACGTTACGGCAGCGCCCTCGCCGCGCAGTCGTCAAAGCAGCTCACAGGCGCTGGAGCCGCTGTCATTCACTACAAAGCGGACGCAGTCGCTCAGGGGTCAGAACGCCGCGACAACAGAGAATGCAAAATCCCATTAGAGTACCTATACATATATTACATACAGTACATGCTTGCGGTGTACACACACACACACACACACACACACACACACACACACGGTGGCAAAGAGGTCGGGCAGCGGGGCAGGTCTGGAATGGTCTTATACATGCCTTTGGCCCGAGGTGTTGTCTGGTAGGAACGACAAAGAGCACACGTTCCGTTTGCACAAATGGAAGTTATCGAGGCCGTCAGACTCACCGACCTCATATTTAGTCACTGTATGATAGCTCGATGTATCGTTCATCGCATCAGACCTAGATACAGGTCACACAGACACAGACACACACACGCAGACACAGACACACACACACACACACACGCGCAGACACAGACAGATACAGACACACACACGCAGACACAGATACAGACACACACACACACACACACGCAGACACAGACAGATACAGACACACACACACACCTGCTCTCTCGGAGGAGGTTGAGGATGTCGTCCCTGAACGTGTCTCTGTTCTTCTCCAACATTCCTCTGACGTCGTACACCACCTGAACGCACAACCACACACCATCAACACACACATCAACACACACCATCAACCATCAACACACACCATGACCATCTCCTCACACAGATCCTCACCTCTCCTGCGTAGTGCCTCACTCCAAAATAGTGCACTGCGACTCGAGGCTTCACGTAGAACGGGTTTTTCTGGAACAAAGCAAGATTTATGGTCAATTATTGTGAAAAATAATAATAAAAAAATCTGAATGAAATAAATGATTGTTGAAGCGAGTTCATACAGAGTGCTGACAGTGCAGTTTCTCCAGCAGGGTCCCGTCGCTGGCTTTGGGGAAGTGGCTCTCCTCGTTCAAAAGAGCCAAAAGACCCAGTTTCTACAAAGACACGCAAAAAACATTTAGATTAAAGAAGCAGTCACTGATTTCTTCCAGACGCATTTTTTTTAAATATTGTGGGAAAAACGTCCCTAAACCCTAAAAGTATCAAGTTATCATGTGTTTTCAAATAGTAATGGAATTGACCAGATGCTTATAGTCTACAAAAATTAATAAAAATATTTTGGAGCGGACCGAAAAAAACAAACCAATGAGATGTGTTTACATCGCTTAGAGATGGGGACATTTCAGTGTTGCATCACAAATTACAGACAATAAGAATGAGCACACAACACAAGATGAATGAATACTAACTCATACTAATAAAAAATAAATAAAAATGTCTAACTTGAGTGGAGCACAGGAAGACTAGTGGCCACTTGTGGAAGTTAAAGGGTATCAAAACAAATAACTAGCATAAAAAAGCAGTATAAAATCTCTATCTTTACCACAATAAGGAAATACATTTACAACCTATTTTTTATCATGATGAAGAAGCAAGACATGTCACTAGAATATACTTTTAAATCCCTCAGTACGTTATGGAGTTTGTAAAAGTGTAGTAATAAGAACCTTCTCGATCAGATCCAGGCACTCTCCGTTGTCCATCCAGTCGATGTCCGCCCAGACCAGACCCTCTCTGCGAAGTGAAGACACATGGGTAATATTTCAGTCTCTCTGGTTAAAGCTGGGGTACCTAACCTTTCATTAATAAAAGGTTAGGTCCCACGGCACTAAGGACAAATGGTCCAAGTTACGTCAAAGATTTGTTTTCATGTTTCATGCTTTTTTGTTTTTTTTAACTGTGACTCTTCAATAACATCCAAATTAATGTAAAAAAAAAAAAGTTTAAGAAATGATGTACTAAATGTAAACCCCTTTTATACTTTTGGTCCCAACCAGCTCTTATGATTTTAAACTTGGCCCCGACCAAAATGGGTTTGACAGCCTCTGCTCTAACGTCATATGGCTGTATATACGGATAGTGCACTCTGGCTCCCCCTGCTGTCCACTGAGAGTATTACCTCATTAGGTCAAAACCAAATACAAAATGATCAGCCCACACTATAAAAAGTTGCGTGTTGAGTTTGTTAGAGGTTTCAAAGTGAGCTCCTACTTGTTGTATTCCAGTTGCTCCAAGGAGAAGATGTGTTTGTTGAAATACTCCTGCAGCTTCTCGTTTGCGTAGTTGATGTTGAACTGTTCGAATCGGTTCAGCTGCAGACGAAAAAAACATTGGGGATTTAAAACACACACTTTTCAAATACATATAGGAATCAATATAAAAAAGAATTAAGTGAATAATACAAATTTACTGTTATGAATAGGGATTTTTGAATTTTTTTTGTGCATTGAAAGGTTAATCTTGAGGCATAAAAGTGACCATGATTTTGTGTCTGTCGATCCTTCCCCCAGTCCTCCTTAAGGTGATAAATCATACTATCTTAAAGAGTGTAGGCTGTTCGCTGGTTCCCAAAGACCTTTAACTCATACATATAATCTGTGTATTTGTTGTATCTCTGGATATAATGGGGGGAAACGTTTTAGTCATCCAAGAACGACAACAAATATAATGAATACATTAGGAAGCAATGGGCAACAGTGGCTCAGTTGGTAGAGCATTGGCCTGAGAGAAACTTAACCCACTTTGCCTGTAAGGAGCGCGGAAGTGATGTTCGCTGCTTGCCTTGATATGTGTGTGTGTGCACAAAACTGAAATTACCCCGTTGTGGGACGTATAAAGGACTTTCTTCTTCTTCTAAGTTCAAAAACGTGTCTTTTAAAAGGAGCAATACGTAAAAATCTGGTCAAAAGTGGTACTGCAGCCTCTCGCACTCTCCCCGACCGAGGTTGCCGCAGATATGCAGACGTTATAGTATCATAGTAGTTTCTCTCACATTCACATCTGCAGCGAGTGTTTCAGAGAGTGGGACTCACATGTGGGAGGTCTGAACATGTTGCTTTTGTTCGACATAGATAAACATGGATAGAGAGAGAGAGAGAGAGAGGCACCTCGAAGTTCTCGAAGCCGAAGATGTCCAGGATGCTGATGGAGCGGAAGTCGTTCTTTCCCTGGATGCGGGTGTTGAGTTTGTGGATGATCCAGTTGAAACACTGGGAGTAAAGTGCCATCGCCATCGAGTCCCGAGAGTCCACCGCCTGCAGCCGGGACAGAGAGTTACTCACACCTGCGGGATCCTACCCTGGGTTTTACATCTGTATTTTACCTTTTATTTCACCACACAATCTCTACGTAGGTTATTCTGTGTCTGTTTCACTTTCTAAAACCTTTATTTTTGAATCATGAGTAGTTCTACCTTTAACTCCCAGAGCAGTCGTGTAGAGAAAATGCTGATTCTGGGTAATTTTTCAGCATTCTTGGCTAATTCTTGGCTCTAATGTCAAATTTATGTTGTTGATAATTTATTATTTCACTTGCAAGATTGTAATTCTTTCTCTAATTTGTTTTGTGAGGCACTTTGCGTTGCCCTGTGTATGTATGATGTGTGCTATACAGATAAATGTGTATATTAAATTATTATTTGGTGGTTAGTCAACAACAAAAACATACAAAATCTTCTCTCACGGCTCTCAACAAACTGCAAAGTCTAATATTTTTTCCATAAAGTGCTTGTGCTTGGATGCGTGTGAGTAAAAGCACCTGGTCCACAGTGAGAGGTGTGCAGATCTCCTCCCCCCTCAGGATCATGGAGCGGTGAGTAAGCACCTCCGACAGCTGCTCCGAGTTCAGCCCCAGCAGCTCCGCCGTGCGACTCAGAGCTGCTCCACAACAAAAAAGAGACAAAAATTTAAAAAAAAAAGGCTTTTCTGGAAGAAACCAATAAGTACTTGAGTATCTCTGCGTCCGTACCTGATTTGGTGGCGACTTGAGCGCCCCCTGCTGTCTCAAACTCGATGTTCCCCACGTTGAGAATCCCGGAGAGGAGACGCAAAACCTCCGCTATGTTCTCCTCAGTGAACTGCATGGTGCGCATTGCATTCTGGGAAAAAACACAGAAAAAATTTGTCAATAAAAAAAAAAAAAATCTGCTTTTTAAGGTTTTATTGGAATTGAAAGCATGAAATCCTCCTGCGTTATACAATTATGTGTCATTTGACGATTTATTATGTGGTTTTATTTATTATTATTTACAAAGAGTTTAGTCTCGAGGTGTTTTATCCAAAGTTTATCGAAAAAACTCCAAAGGCTCTATATTTTTTATCATTGCATTTCCTGTGTTTCTATTTGATTCTCTGATCTGTGTTGGAAAATCAACAACTTTGTTAAGTCCTCTGAGATATCTTTACTGTTGTGATTTAGGGCGATACAAAAACATATTGGACTGAATTGAAGTGAATGTGTGTCAATTTTAAAACTGGGAGGAGTGTGTCAATTTTAAAACTGGGAGGAGCTTGTCCATCTCTGCTTGGACCCGCCCATTTTCACCTCTGCAGCTTCCCGATTGGTCGAAATGAATTCAAGCCCTTTGAGCCACTTGTCACTGGTTTAACTGCTCTCCTCCAGAAAAATCTTGCTAGTCCTAGTCATACCGAGGACTATTTTAAATGTACTATTGTAAAAATACTTACTATACATAAGCGCACAGTGGCCCATGGTTATAATATACATTGAAATACATGCCCATTACAAGGGAAAAGGGGATGTGGGGAACCAAAACGGGATAAAAAGTCAGGTGTGATCCATGCCAACCAGTGCAAAAATGTAAATATAAAGAAAATTGATCATAAAAAAAGTCTTAAATATGTATTATCAAACTGAATCTATCTCCTCTATAGTATTTGGCGTTATCTGTCATTTGCCCGAGATGCCCAGACTTCCCTTTCCACACAAACTAAACCATAATAATCATAAAATATTACTATAATATGCACAGGATCAATAGGTTTTCATCAATAACAGTAAATTAGCAAAAAAAAGGTACCAGAATGTCATTAAAAGTGCATTTATCGTTGATCGTCTGGTCGTTGATGCAGCCCGACTGACGGAGATAGTGGTAGTTTTCCGGAGAGGACAAAGAAAAGGCCTCTGCAGCACAAAATACAAAGAATTAGTAAAAAATTATAAAAAAACGCCAATTTGTGTTACTAAAAAGTGGTTCTTGTGTTTCTGGTATCACTGGTACCGTTACCTTTCTGCTGCGAGTTGGTTCCAGCCAACAGAGCGTAGAAGATGTGGTAGTTTCTCTCTCCGGGATTCTGACGCACAACTCGATTCTAAACGCACAAAAAGAACCAGTTTATTCCTGAAACCGAAGCCGTGTGTTGTTGTTAAGGTGGAACCAGAGAGATGGAAACATACTCACTTTTTCTAAGAGGTCTGTGGTTTGAGGAGGCTCAGTCAAGGTCGACGCATATTTATGACTTTAGATTTAAACAGTGCATTCAAACAGATTTGGGTTTTATTCAGCGTTGTACTCGAGTAAAATACTAGTACACTGCAAAAACTGGCTCCAAAAAACATGAACAAAATAGCTAGTATTAGACAAAACTGACTTTTTTTAAAGCTACATTTTCTGCCAGTGGATCATGATTGTTCCACTTTCGGAAAATACGAAAAAAAATCACAAGAATCTTAAAAATCTTGAATTAAGCGTTGAATTGAGCGTTATGGTCAAGGATATATATATATTTTTTCATTTTAAGCTGATTTGGAAGTATTGCTTGAAGACCAATAGATTTTGGGACAAGTTTGCTCAAAACTAATCAAATACATAAGATAAAAAACAAGATGCATTTTTCTTGAATTAAAAAAATCTCAAAATAAGTACATATTATAACAAAGCCACTTCAGGGGGGGAGGATGGGGGGAGGAGGGAGGAGCAGGGGGGAGAGGTCTTGAATTGTCTTACAGTGACTCTTTTAATGATTTTAATGTATTTTATTGTGTTTTAAGTATGTTTTCATCTTTTAACTATCTTATGTTTGTATGTTTGTATGATCGTATGATTGCGAGCAAGAGACCAGTGCACAATTGTCTTTTGGATCCATAAAGTATCTATGTATCTATCTATTTCTTAATCAGTAGGAAATTGGGTTATTAGCAACATTTTGAAGGTTGGTGGTTATGGTTATGTTAAAAAATATGCACTTTGGGATTTGTTCATTTCATATCTACCTAAAAGAACATTTATTAACATTTATGGACAGTGGTCATCTTGCTCCCTATGAACTTATTCTTCTTTTTTCTGTGTTTGATTCTCTAATCTGTGTTGGCGAATTCAACTGTTTTGTAAAGTCCTCCCAGATAACTACTGTCGTGATTTAGAGCGATAAAAAATAAAAAAATTGAATTGAATGAAAGGATACAGTCTACGATGCGTCCTCCCTGGATGTTTCCTTTTTGGCTGAAGTGAAGTTGGACAAACTTCCCGAAACGACTTGAGTTGTTGTTGTAGACGGTTTTGGCGTTCCCGAAGGCCTCCATGATCGGACTGTCGAGGAAACCACAGCACATGTCGGCCAAGGTTATTTGTATGGCACAGTTCATATACCGATAAACTTGGCAAGGCAACTCCAAGTGCGGAACAAAACAAGATAGAAGCGATATCACGAGGCATTCTATAAATAATCACAGTACATTAAAAGTATTGGACTCTGCTCTGACCATCGCCACGGTAACACACAGACACAGCACCTGCTCTCCAGAAGGGCGGCCTCCACGTGGGACGTCCGGTCTCTGGAAGCCAGCTCCTGCGAGTGTTGGCTCATGGCTGACAGGAAGCCCAGGATCAGCTTAGTGCTCTCCGTCTTACCCGCTCCACTCTCCCCGCTGTGGGACAGACACAAGTACAGAAGGATGGTGTAAAACAGACTGAATGACTTCTTAAAGCCAGAGTTTTTCTACATATATGCTTTTGTTTTTGGCCTCTGTCACATTCTTAGATCAGAGAGGACCACCCTCACTCAGCTCTCGTCCCAAAGAATCAATTGGTCTGATTTGTACTATTAATGAAACAATAAAGTAGAGTACCCCAGCTTTAAAAGGTCTGTTGTATTAGTTTTCCTTGTTTACACACGCTATTGTTTCTGGGGCATTCATTCATATTTTTCTTTATTTATATTTGTGTGAAGCAGAAACTATTTATTTTCCCTGAATTATTCTATTTTTATTTAAAACAATTTTTAAATCTGTGATACAAAAATCATTTGGCAGGGTTGTGCAATCCATTTTTTCAAAGGAAAAAAACATGGTTGTGGAAAATGTATCTGCGGCCTGAGAGAAAGCCGGACTGAATATTGAACAGTAGTTATACGTCTTGAAATGGGCTCCACCTTTACATCAAAACAAATTCAAAAACATAATTTATTGCGCAAAACCTATAGAAAAAAGTTAGTAAAATGTAAAAGCAAATATTGGACTTTATTCTAAATTATATTCTAATGTTCTCATTTCCACTTGACTCAACAGTGTGAGCGGTAATTCTTTTTTGCGCCACAAGAGGGAGCAGTGCACTTTCAAACGGTCCCAGTCTCAGCCGCCGCGAGTCTACAGTAGGTCAGTAGTGTCAGTCTGGTAAGAGTTATTATAGTTATTATGTTTTGTATGATATCAGAACATTCAAATCATTTCCTCTAAAACTATAATCAAGCTCAAAGATAGAGATTGTATTTTTAATTATCAAGTTGTTCTTTCCTTAATAATCTGTATTATTTATAGATATCTGTGTTTTTGTCACTGTTAATTGTTTTAGTATGGAATGTAATTGTTTTCCCAATTAGCTTTCATTTTGGAGAGAGAGAGAGAGACGAGAGAGGGAGAATAGAAAGAGAGAGGCAAGAGAGAGAGAAACAAGAGGTAGAGAGAGAGAAAGAGAGAGACAAGAGAGGGAGAAAAAACGAGTGATAGAGGGGAATAGAGAACCAGAGAGAACCAGACAGAGAGAGAGAGAAAGAGAGACTAGAGAGAGACGGAGAGAGAGAGAGACCTTAATATTCTGTATTATTTATAGATATCTGTGTTTTTGTCACTGGTACTTGTTATTGTTTTTAGTATGGAATGTAATTGTTTTCCTATTTAGCTTTTGTTTTGGAGAGAGAGAGAGAGAGAGATATAGAGAGAGAGAGACTAGAAAGAGAGACGGAGAGCGACGAGAGATAGAGAGAAAGAGAGCCAGAAAGAGATGACAGATAGAGAGAGAGAGAGCTGAGAAAGAGAGAGCCGGAGAGACGAGAGATGGAGAGAGAGACAGAAAACAGTATGTTACATGTTTATCTTCCACACTGACCTCGTCCGTGTCATTGTCACACTCTCCATAAGGGAATACATGTATTTATCAGACACTTTTCCGTTCAAAATACTATAAAAAAACTAAAACAAACATTTATCTCAAACCCTTCATCGTTGGAATCTTTACAAAAACACAAAAAGTGAAGTTTAGAAGCGGTTTAAATGAGGCTAAAACAAGAATCCACCACAAAGTTATTCTGTCATTCCCTGAGTTTATTTAGGCCCAAAACGCCGCGCTCAGGTCTCTGCGCCTATAATTGTGGATTTCCGGACAGTTCTGAGGTTGACGTAATCTTCTCGGACAAACTGCGGTGTCAGAATGAACGACGAGGACAGAGAAGACACAGAAGAGGAAAAGTTTTAGACAGATCTGAGTCGTGTTTGTCGGAGAGTCCACTTTGTATAGCTTTGTTTTTAGATAACTACTGCTCTTGTCCGGTTTCTGAAGCTAAGCAGGTTTGAGCGCGGTCAGTGCTGGATGGGAGACCACTGGGAGTAAAGGTAAAAGGTAAAGGTGCACTTTATTGATCCCCGTAGGGCAATTCATCCTCCGCATTTGACCCATCCTGATGCCGCTAAAGCTTTACGTCAGGAGCAGTGGTCGCCGTAGTAACAGCGCCCGGGAACCCATCTCCAGATGTTGATGCTCGGCTTGGTCAGGACTACCGGAGCTGGAGGATTTAACCTATAGTGTGCATATTTTTAGTGGTAGGACATCTACGCAAGCACGGGGAGAACATGCAAACTCCACTCAGAAAGACCAAGATTTGAACCCAGAACCTTCTTGCTGAGAGGCTAGAGTGCTATGAACTCAGCCACGGTGCCCCAGCAGTTGTTATTGTGGGATTGAGCCAGACACAACACTCACTTTGCTTCTGTGTTCAGTGTCTGTGAGAATGAATGAGAGATACTTACTGTATATATACTTATACATTCAACTTATATATAATATTCTAAGTATGTATTTTCACTTATGTTTGCTGTCGTGAGTGATAAAATATTAGCAGATATTTTTCCTTACAGTAAAACCCCCTGTGTAATGTGATATGTGATATGATCCGTATGATCCTCAAATGACAGATGCAAAAGAAGTGGGCGTGCTGCGGCGGTGAAGGAGCCAGAGGAAGGACTTCACAAAGTTGCTGGTTCGTCAATAACAGATCAGAGAATCAAACAGTTCGAAAACTTCAATTGGTCCACTGGAAAAACTCCATTGAAAAAAATAAGAGAAAAATGTATGAAAATAAGTAAAATACCAGTTAAAATTTCTGAAAATATGAAAAAATACTAGCCCCAAACGACTTGATTCTAGTATTATTTACTTTTTTGTTCAAAATTTTTGAGAAACCTTTTCTTAAAATATAGCATAACAAACGTATTTTATCCAAACAAGATATCTGGAAGTAAAGAAAAAATACTTAAAAGCTCAGAGTAAAGTTTTATTCTCTTAAAACTAGCAAAATAATCTTGTATTCAAGCAAAAAAAAACGAAAAACTTGCCTTTAAATAAATTGGCAATTTTTGTTAATTTTAGTAAATAAATCTTACCAAGATTTTCAGTGAGGGAGCGGGATGATTTGTTTTAAGACAGTCAAAATGAAGTCAAATTAAGATGAAAACCACTCGATTCAAGATATTTTTGCAGTTTTAAAAGTCATTTGACATGTGACATCCCCTTTAAGAAAATGACCCAAGTCGTCCACTTGAGCCAAATAAACAATACTCCATCCAACAAGTACCAGACTGTAAAAACACAAAACTACACCGCTGTAACCTCTGCCAAGGGAGAAACCCCGTATAATAAAACCCCCACACTGTAAAACCAGCAAGGGCCAAGTTCACACCAGGACCGAACCCAAGGACACAAGCGTGGGAAAAATCTTCTCCAAAATGTCACTGGATATTTCCCACAAAAAGCAGTGACCTCACATCAGCAGATTGGACAATGCAAAGTAGATTAAATGACATTGGATTGTGATAAAACGTGAGGGAATGCCCACAGAGATGTAACAATGCGATGTTGTTTGTGAGATTCGTGGTGTATGGACGATTTTGAGGGCGAGCCACAAATTGGATGTGAAAACCGGAGCCAAATCGCCACAAAAGAGACACGCAAACAGAAAAATGCTATCAGATGCTTCAAACTGTTTGGATTTGAGGATTCCTGCCACATTTTGAAGTGTTTTTAGTTTGTGTTGGGTAAAAACAACAAGGTTTTGGCTGAAGCGAAACCAGTCATAACTACACTGCAAAAAATAACTAAATATGAGGTAATAATGGCTTGAATCGAGTGGTTTTTATCTTAATTTTAGCACATTTTGACTGTGTTAAAGCGAGATCTGCCAACGGGACAAAGCCGTTTAGTCTAATTTCGAGAACTATGGCTTTACTTTCTCATTCCAAAAGAGACATTTCTTGTATCGTTTTAAAACTAGATCTTTTTGCTTTGTCACATTGGTAAATCTTGTGTTAAGGGAGTCAAAAAAGTGCTCAAACCAAATTTGAGCAGTTTTAAAGTTATTTTTCATCACTTTTTCCAGTCTGGCAGTAGAAATAGAATCTGTAATATAATCTGTAGAGCTGGGGTCAACTTTTTTCGATCTGAGAGCTATTTTTATCTAAGAGAAATGGCAGAGAGCTACTCCTTTAGCAGTCGTAATACCATGGTAGTCTATAATACATACAGTACATATAATACTACAGCTATACATAAAAAAACACATACATAATACACCAATATACCAGTAGGGTATGCAGTTGTCGGGGTTTGATTCCATTCCTGCGTGTGCACAGATCAGTTTTCTCTGATGATACTATATTTTGTCCCTGGAAAAATTGAGTTTGCGACCCCTGCTCTAAGCTTGACTGATTTTGAGCGTTTTTTTTTTTACTTCCTATCATTGAAAAGTTGAAAAGAAGTCTAAACAACGCACCAACTTTTCCCCCTGTAGTCCCGGGTCGACACGACATTTACCCCGTCTGTGGAATGAGAACGTCTAAGGAACTATTTCAAGAAGGCCTCACATGTTTTCGACTCCCAAACCTGGTCCCTGTTGGATTATCCCCGATCCACAGCGACACGCAAGAATGTCCCACTAAACAAACACTTCCATATCTACTCCCATCATGCTTTGCTGCTCTCGCTCGTTCACAAAATCCCCAGAGTAAATCTCCAGCAGGTATGTTTGCACAGACCCTGACCCTACACGCCACCGTCATTATCCAATGAGGAGGGGGCGGCATTCAACCCGCAACCAGTGTCAGGGGTCTGGCCCACATTATCATCATATGTATATCTGCCCTGTGTCAAGCTGAAGAGGCTTAAAAAAAGTCAATATTATTTTAAAAAACGGTTTAAAATACAATAAGAAGTTGAGAGGGGAGCATGCCAGACCTATTGTACGCGCTTTTAGTGGAGGGGGAAACCAGAGCACCTGGAGGAAACCTACGCAGACATGGGGAGAACATGCAAACTCCACACGCCATAATTAGGGCAAGACCAATTCCTCAATGTACCTTTAATATCAGCGAAAATCAGTTTTTCCCATTGATTTGGAGAAATACCCATGAACTCATTTTGTACCGAGAAAAATTTTGCGCTGTCCATGACGTCAAGTTTAAAGTTTTGACTCTGTGTTTGAAAACTGAGAATATGGACAGAAGGGAAGGGGGCATGTTTGAAGCATATGGAGCAAACACAGTCATAAGTCACTATTAGATGAGATGTTTAAAAAGGTCAAAACATTGTTAGTTGTAGGGTCAGAGAGTTTTCTAGTCCGTCCGTCTGTGTTCTCTATATATACATGATTTTGTATTGTGTGACTTTTCTACTGTATTTTTTTGCATCTTTTTTGTTCCAAATTGTCTTGTGTCTGTGTGAATGGTAGAGAAGATAGATTTATTTTAGTGCTATACAAATAAGGTGTCACTTCTTGTTGAGAAAATCCTCTGAAATCTACTGCCTTTAACTAAACACGTTAAAGATTGCAGCCAGAAAAATATGTTATTTTTGACAAATTTTCGAATAGGAGACATCTGTTTTTAGCTTTTGTTTAGTTGTGTGAAATTGCAGGGTTTTGTAATAAAAAGTCTTGATTCATTGATAAAATTTAAAAACTGTCAAGCGCTTTGGGTGACCTTGGTCTGTAAAATGCGCTATATATATATAAACCTTACTTACTTAATTACTTATTCATTAATAAAATGGTGAAAATCTCAGAGAGGATTTCCCCGATATATTTCTCGCTTTCAAAACTGAAGCCTGTCCACGTTTCCCAAAACACAACCAGTGGAATTGCGAGTCATACCGCCTTAAGTCGCAAACTTCTCACCATCATCTCCAATTCTACTTTACTGCGTTTCCAAAGTGGCCTGTAGTAAAAACCCCACACAGAGAGAGGCCCTGTGAATGTGCCTTCGCCGCCTCCAAGCGCCATAAATCTCCGCACTGGCAACGCGGGACACAGGAAGCCCTCCCGTCGCACCGAGGAATTGTGGGTAACCAGATCTGGCACGGGGGAGGAGAGAGGGAGGGGGGGGGGGGGCAGAGAGGATCAGGACCAGGAGCTAGGGCTATCATATGCTCATTAATGCTAATACCTGCCCATGTGCCTCCCGACTGGTTCTCCCGACCGCAGAAGGAGATTAAATGTGTTGTGTGTGTGTGTTTGTGTGAACATGTGTGTTTGTGTGTGACCGAAGCAGGTTTAAGTGGTAATAAGGTAATAACCATGAACGAAAGCGTCATGGCGCTGTAGGAAGGGGCTCTTGGTGATTTGACTAACAAGCTGACGCATTAATACACTAACGCTTTTTGGTTCGGGAACGGATCGAGAATATAATTAGCCTTTTATCAAAACCAGCAGCGAGAGTTTTATGGACAGTGTGTGGTGAAAAGTTGCAACGTAGCTTTTGTGAGAATAAAAGGTTTTTTCATAACAGACGACAATGAAAATGAACGGTCAAAATGAACGGCCCCCTTGTATGAGATAACTTTTCTTTTGCTTCGACAGTTCCCTAAACTTCTGTCAGAGGATTCTTAAAGCTGGGCTATTTTTTATTTTATTTATTAATTTGTTTGGAGGATAAGCCCCATAACCATGTAGTTTTCAAGGGGGTCGTCATCTTGTCTGTCCCTGTGAGTCACTAAAAAGTCACTAATTTACGGAAAAATGGCGCTGTGACAGAGGCGCTGGTGTGTACCATCTTGTTGGTCCTCCATTTTTTCACTTTTCTCTCAGAAAAAGCTGATTTAAAGATCTAGTGATAAAATAAAACCATTTTAAGAGTAATGAACTGGAGAGAGAGGCTACAGTGGCTCAGTTGGGAGAGCATTGGGCCTGAAGGTTGTTGGTTTCGAGCCCACCATGAGACCTACTTCATGACTCCCACTGATGTCTGCTGTCGTTGGGCAAGACACTTACCAGTTACAAATGGGTTGTATTAGTTACTTTTTTGTGATTTCCTGCTTCAGTCTGCTTAGTAGTGAATACAAGACACCTGCAGCTCATTATTATAGATGTGTATGTTTTTAGATGAACTTAGGAGGGCAGTGCAAAAACGTTATCCATGAACATTCAGGACACAGCACCTTCATACAGACAAGACATCACTGTTCTCTGAAAAGACAACCCCTCACATGAACGGTGAGCTCCCAGCACGTCACTTACATCATTCAACACACCTCAGAGGTAAAAGAGAAAACATAAAACTAAAACAGATAATTATTTAATGAATTATGGTAATACTTTGCTCTACTGTAGTGATTTCATTGTGTGATCAAAATATCACAACACTGAACATAATGTATTTTTCCCCACCACTTTTTCCCTGGACCAACCGAGTATTGTGTGTGTGTGTGTGTGTGTGTGTGCGTGTGTGTTTGTGTCTGACCTGATGAGCACACACTGGTTGCAGGGCCTCCTCCACAGCGCGCGGTAGCACTCGTTGGCCAGAGCGTAGATGTGCGGGCTGATGTCTCCCAGGTGATGGCTGCTGTAGCGGTCCACGGCGGCGCGGTCGTACAGCCCCGGGAGCGTCTGGTAGGGGTTCACCGCCGCCAGGATGGAGCCGATGTAGGTCTGCGGAGATGAGAACACACGGTCAAATCAATTTGTTTTTGTGGAGCCCTAAATCACAACAGTAGTTTTCTCGGAGCGACTTTACAAAACGGTTGATTGGTCTCTGCCTCTCATGAACCAATGTCCATAAATGTCGTTGAATGTTGACTGTCCTGGATCATCACCACTGTCCTTAGACCCTCCAGCATCGACAAAACAAGAGCGAGATGGAAAGCACTCTGTCCCTATATTTATTCATGTTCCCTTTTTCATGGTAATATACAGTACCTTGCGAAAGTATTCGGCCCCCTTGAACCTTTCAACATTTCGCCACATTTCAGGCTTCAAACATAAAGATATAAAATTTTAATTTTTTGTCATGAATCAACAACAAGTGGGACACAATCGTGAAGTGGAACGAATTTTATTGGATAATTTAAACTTTAAAAAAAAAAAAAAAAAAACTGAAAAGTGAGGCATGCAATATTATTCGGCCCCTTTACTTTCAGTGCAGAAAACTCACTCCAGAAGTTCAGTGAGGATCTTTGAATGATCCAATGTTGTCCTAAATGACTGATGATGATAAATAGAATGCACCTGTGTGTAATCAAGTCTCCGTATAAATGCACCTGCTCTTTGATAGTCTCAGGGTTCTGTTTAAAGCGCAGAGAGAACCATGAAGACAAAGGAACACACCAGGCAGGTCCGAGATACTGTTGTGGAGAAGTTTAAAGCCGGATTTGGATACAAAAAGATTTCCCAAGCTTTAAACATCTCAAGGAGCACTGTGCAAGCAATTATATTGAAATGGAAGGAGTATCAGACCACTGCAAATCTACCAAGACCCGGCCGTCCCTCCAAACTTTCATCTCAAACAAGGAGAAGACTGATCAGAGATGCAGCCAAGAGGCCCATGATCGCTGTGGATGAACTGCAGATAATTACAGTTCTCACTACTGTATGTGCCGCAAATTTCTGCTAAATGTCTCCATAACTAAGCTTGAAATATATTTTTTGTATAGCCTTAAATCACAACAGTAGTTTTCTCAGAGGACTTTGCAAAGCAGTAAATTCGCCAAAACAGAGAATCAGAGAATCAAACAGTTCAAATACCATTGGTGCCATTGGTCCATAAGGGGCAGACACCAATGTTCAAATAAGGTCCATAAATGTTGTTGAATGTGGAGTGTCCTGGATCATCACCACTGTCCTTAGACCCTCCTGCATCAGCAATACAAGAACAAACTGGAAAGCCCCACCCACTTTTCACTAAAATATGTCTTTCTTACTTACAGGTAAAAATGAAAGGAGTCTGAATGCCTGGGTTCTAACTCTGCTGATCAATATCTAAAAAAAAATCTGCTAATGTGTCCGAAACTTTATCCATTTAAATAATAATTAAAGATATTTACCAATGCAGTACAAGAGGCATTGGAACTGAAGGCGAGAACTGAAGGTTATTTTTTATGGAATCCAGCTGTGAAGTCTTTACTCTCAAACTAGAATCCAAATGAGACCAGGAAAAATGTACAGCAGTAGAAAAAGGTTTGCCTAGTTCATTTTCAAACAATTTAAAATGACCCTTGACTATTTATGGGTAAAAATACAACTGCAAGAAATAGCAGAAATGTAGATACAGTTATTATACACAAATTATGAAGTTACTGTATATAGATATTTGCGGCATTACTACAGAAAGCACTGCATAAAGTGTCTTTCCGACGTACACGGCAAAACTCTACAGAAACATGGAGAAATAATTAATTTCTCTCAAACACTGACTTTTATGAATCAGTTTCGCAGCTAAGTTTGTTGACATGTTCTTTAGCAATAAAAGCTAAATCAAGCTACCCATAGTAGTGCAAGACTTTTCATAATTCTAACAAAACTGAGATTACGGCAGGAAAATATTTTGGCATTTTGTTCTCCTCAAACGTCTCCCTTTGTGAACAAACTTGAATCTGCTTTTCAACAACGATTAAGAAGTTGTGACAGAATATTATTACAGTTGATTATAGGGTTAGCACAACTATGAGCGGGTTGTGTGTCTTCGGCGTGAAAAAAAAGAGGGGAATTTCCCAGTAACTCAAATCTCCAATTACGCCTGAACGCACCCTGAGGACAGACAGGGGCTGATAGAACTTTGTGTTGAGTCGGAGATGAGACGACTTTCACATGAACCACATTAGTGACACAGGACGGTGCTTTTCAGACAGACGCCATGGTTTAAAGCTGGGGTACGTAACTTTCAAGGACAAGATGGAGCTAGGATATAAGTTCTGTCTGTTACTAGTTTTCCCATGCGTGTGTTTTCTGCCTCTGTCACATTTTTAGATAAAACGAGTGGACCATCCTCAGTCTACCAATCGGCCCAAAGAGTCGACTCGTGACTCGCAGGGTTAGTGTGCAAATATTTTTCTCATATGATGAAGAAGAAGCCTTTTGTGGTATGATTGGTTCACAGCATTTTACTCAACAAAGACTCTTTCTGTTTGTTTGGGAGAAACTAAAAATATTATCTATGACGCAGCAGGTTCCCATGTTGTAAAGTTATGTTCCCACAAACTAGCTCACTTTTGACCGATCATATGAGTGTGCTAACAAAAATACATAGAATAAATATCCCCAATATGTTGAATTTATAATATGCAATATAGATTTTGTATTCAGTTTTTTTTCCTCTTTTGATCAACTGTTCAGTGTTGGACAAGTTACCTAAAAAACCAAATACATTCTCTACTACTTTTTACAGTTATTTCAAAGTAAAAAGTTCCACTGCAATATCTCTGAATGGTAAAGCATTACACTACTACTGCATCACCAAATACATACTGTACACACAAACTGTAGCTTATGAAGCTATTGCGTGAGGTTGATAGAACTTTTGATTTGAACATAAACTTAACGGTTATGTTCCACGTCTTTGTCTCCAACAATCTCTAATTAATGGGATTCTGTCCGTCTGTAAAATGTACCATAGTCCAACATGGTGCCTGCTTCAGCTTCAGCTTCAGCCGTCTTCTACCAGAAAGGAAAATAACGTTGAGGCGGCTACCATTGGAGCAGACATAGCAAATACTTTACTGTAAATACTTTTCTCAACCAAGTGCAATTATAGCTCCAGAGTTTATTTTATTCTATTATATTTCACCAATTTATAACTCTGCACTACTATATGTATATATTTTTGGACTCAGCATCTACAGCAAGTTATGCTAGTAACATAGAAATATAGCTAATACTTATTTGTATATATTGTGTGTGATCCCTGTGTGCTCTTACTACTGTCCTGTATGTGCGCTGCAACATCGAAATTTCCCCACTGCGGGACGAATAAAGGAACTCTTATCTTATCCTTCTCTGCTGTAATGAGCATTTCTTATCTTATAGTCAAAAAACAAAACACTATTTAATGTCATTTCATTTTCTTCCCCTTTAATAGCCCATTTCTGGGTTGGGGCTGATCCTGCTGCAGGTGGTGGGTCTACAGGACGATGGCTTCTCCGTCATCGAAGACACGGCCTTGGTCTTTCAGCGGGAGTTCAGGCAAAGCGGGGTTAAGTGTCTTGCCCAGGGACACAACGGCAGCGGACATTAGTGGGAACATGAGTCGTCCAAAGACCAATCGATGATCTACCAACCAAGCCACTGTCGCTCCCACACTATTTAAATTTGGGTTAAAATGTTTTGAAACGCAGTATTTTTTTGGAACACCTTACATTACTATATTACCAACACTCTGTACTCTAAACTGTTTTATAGTGAACTATAAAACACGTATCTGGATTTCCTGTTGATGTTAACACTTTAAATCACAGACGTTCCTACAGACACTGGAGTAAACAGGAAGCTTCAGCAACACCACTTAAAGACAGATATCCGATCTTCAAAGTCTCATCCACGGACCAGTGCAATGTGAAGCGGCTCCTTATGACAAAACACTAATGTGCATAATTACAAGGCAGAATCAACCAAATATAGAAATGGAGAGATTAAGGAGTTGGCATTTTAACCATCTTGTTCCAGATGTGTCGGTCCAGACTGGAGCAGTGGGTCAAATATCAGACCTGGGATATTAGAACACAGGGAAATAAACTTAAACTTCTGAATATTACAGTGAGATTTGACAGAAGACCGGTCCCAATACATGATTTGATCCCCATACATGGATTTGATTCTCATCTTTTGAAGGACTGAGGAAGCTGAAACCCACATGAAGAGGGACAAGGAACCAATGGGATGTTTAAATATAGTAATTAAGATAGACAATAGGTTCAGCGCTTTTGTAATTTACATTTACAAAAGTGATGTAAAATAAGTCAGAACTTTCTCAAATTTGGCAAAGTGTGTCTTAATTTGAGCACATTCTGAGTGCCTTATAATGAGATTTGCCAAAGGGACAAAGCAAAAGGACTCCCATGTCCCCCTTGGAATGAGGAGATAAAGAAACAGTTCTTGAAATCAGACTGAATGGCTTTGTCCTGTTGGAAAATCTTGTTTTAAAAGTCAGAATGTGCTCGGAATAAGATCAAAACCACTTGATTCAAGCATCTATTACCTCATATTTTATTATTTTTTGCGGTGTAGAAATGTTGTTTTCTGCCTTTTAAATCAAAAGCATGATTCTAAATTAGGTTTACGAAGTTCCACAATCAAACAATGTTCTCAAAGTTACATATTTTTCCAAGAAAGACCAGGACGGCTGTTCAAAGGGTGCGGTGTCAGACGTTAGATGGTAGATCAAAGTATAAAATAATATCCTACTTCTAACACTAAACGAGGCTGAAATATATCTGTATATTTTCTTAACCTAACCTAACCCTAAACAGCCTACTACATGAAAAGTAAACATTTAAAGAATAAGTATTAAGTATTGTTTTTGGCCCATAATAATTATAATGAGACTATTTACTTTGTCATTTCATGTTTTAGAATGTGAAATATTATTATAAGTAGAATATATACAATGAAACAAGTATGAAAGGAGAACAATGCTTTCTATCTGCAACTCCCTGTGCTAC